TGCATTTTTTTTAGCATGAGAATAGAGCATCAAAGTGTTTCAAGTGAATATGGTCAAGTAAAGCGTTTAATTTGGCAGTTGCTACCTACGGGATAAACAGAGGATAATACTGTACACAGTTGGCAGTGCAAACTCAAGTGATGCACATTGCAGTCAGCACTTCTTGTAAGTTATCTTAGTCAAACCAAGATATTCAGACTAATTTACTCAGCTCCACTTTGCTACCATACCCTGGCAATGCGAAATGTTGGGCAAGTTTCCTTACTCCACATGCCTCTGTTTACCTAGAGGTAAGTCGGAACCCGGTTGTTAATCGATTAGCGGATCGCTTTTCCAGCGGTAATTATTCCTTCAAAAAAATAATAAATTGGTCACTTCAATCCACGACTGTTGCGCAATTGCCTGCCGCGTTTCATCCACAAAATATACAATCAGTTCACTTTACAATATATTCTGTGAAGCGCTTTGAGACGCTTCAAAGACGTGTTGAGGGCTCAATATCAAATGCAAGGATTATTAAAAAGGCACAGCAAACGTTTTTTGGTATATTATAGTGAAATAAGAGTGTTATCGGATTCTGAAGCCTGAAGACCACTTAGGTCACCGACCATAGCAACAATGTACGAATAGAAGAACTCTCGAAAGTCCATTTTCGAGACTACAAGACTTCAATAATTCCAAGTTTTCTGCACCTGTATTATCCAGCATGAGACCCAAGTCACAAGAATCAAGAGTAGAAGAATAGGCTAGTTACCTCGTGATTCTTCCACCACTTTTAGATTCAATTCTTTCTCCCTATCTCCCCTTCTCTGTTGCTATCTCTCTTCATGTATCAGAACCATCCCCGTCTTCCTCTCATTTTCTCTGTTTTCTCATGTCTAGTGATAGCTCCTCCAAACGTTTTTCAATCGTTCCTCCCAAGTTGTAAATAGTTTTTCCTACCTATTTTCTCTCTTCACTCAGAGCCTTGGCACATCCTCCTGACTTGAAGGGCACTATATACATGTAAATCTGTATTGTGTGGTATTGTTCTCTCCATTCCCATCACGCTGTGTGCAAACATATTGGACCGTCTCCCAACACTGAACCATTCTTTCCCAGGACCTTGAGATCGTGAGACTCTTTATCTCCCACAACTTTCCATTCCTCCCCTCCTACATAATGTTGGCTCTTTAAGCCCAAACTTGGCGTCAGCTAATGTTTGATGCCTCTTCCTGTTCTGACGTTCTTTACAAACTGGTAGTGCACTGCATCTTGGACCTTACCTCCTCCATTTATTTCTCATCAGTATTTCCAATGTGGAGAAAATCTGTTTTCAGTAATTAGCTTAGCTTAAGATTTTTATGTTATACTTTGCAACAAAAACTAATGAAAATACCGGGGTAACTTTGAATATTACCATCTCCATACAATTAATTGCTTTTATGTTTCCTCTATATTTCTGAACTCTTTTTGTGATAGTTTTTTTTTCTGTAGCTATCCTCCTTTGATAAAGCTTCAGTAAGGATTAAATGATACTAGTGTAAAATGGGATATGGGTTATTTCCATATTTGTGCGACTTAACTGGATGACACAGCTGGTAAAACTGTCCAGGAGAAGAAATGAGGAAGTTTAATGCAGTCGTGTAGAAAAATAGGATTTTAATCAAAATCCTTGCTGTGAAATTTAGCAATTTTCAGACTTCAGTTTTCATTTGATCTAAATAACTTGTATGTATTATTAAACTTTTCTAACTTGATAACTATTGATTGTTCCCACAGCAAGTACCCACTGCAACCAATATTCTTTCAAATAGTAAGTGCACACCTACGCATAACGATATGTATTGCGAAGCAAATTAATAATGTTGATTCTCTGAGAACTGGTGACATTGTTTTAGTAACAATTCTAAAAATGCGATGAAGCAAGAGCTTGGGGGAGAACAGTTTTCAAATTCTTTACAATGCTGTGAACCAAACCTGGAGATAAACTAAACAACATTTGACCTGTAAAGATTTGTGAGGACTAGTGGGAATCTGCTAAAGTAACTTGATTGTAAGAAAGAGCATTGCCAATATAGTAGCTCCAAAATTGGAATTGATTCAGTGAAGTTACATTTAATAGGATATATTGAAGTTGTGGTTTTGCAGATGCGAATTTGGATGGGAAATCTCCAGGGCCCTTTAACTAAAAACGACGGTTAATGCTAAGGCATAATGATCAGGGATTTTGCAGTGAAACCTTGAGGCTATCCACTATGAAATGAACTAAAACTTTACCATAGTTAGCCACTAGAGAGCTAATCAGTCTTACGAGGCAAGGGTTGCAGTTGGATATCTGTTAAGTTAAGGGTGTGTCTAATTTATCGGCCACAGCTTTCATCTAACAAAACTGTAAAGTATGTTGGCAGGTTACCAAAAGAAATCTGTTTTTATTCTTATAACCTGTATAATGGGAATGAATTCTCTATGATAAATTATTAGTAGAATATAAGTTTTGACTATTATGTTAATTCGAGTGTTTCGCCAATAACTTAATTATTAGGCACTCTTCATTAAAGTGGTGTTTTAGATGGTCCCAGAAGAATGTTCCTTTTATAGATGATTGAGGATAATTGGAACTAGTGATTAATCTGAACCAGAATCAGATTTGACTGCAATATTAAGCCATCATCATACATACCTGGAATGGCTCCAATGCACTCTGTCTCTGGAGACAGCTCCAAGATCTGCTCTGCAGCACTTGGACTCTTGAAGACTTCTTGTGTAAGTTATACCTGGTGTCTGACACATGCAGACACCCATTGCCATGCTTAAGAGGATCCAAACTAACAATGCCACAATGGCAATATAACCATGTTGCTCTTTCCTGTCGCTGGGTAACACATACAATAGATCCCATTATAAAGCCCTCTCTTATAATGCTAGTTTGTTTACAACTGTTGGTTTTGGAAAGGGGACCGGCCAACATCTAGATGCTAACAAGTGGCTGACTTTCAGGTTGTTAAGTTTCCGCTAATGTTAGTTGCTGGGCATGTGCAACATGCAGGAGGTGAGGTAGGTTGGTGGGGGCCCAATGACCCAGAAGTTGGCCACAATTTAACGCGGAATGCCGGTGGATTTTTAATGCTTTCCCTGTACACTGATAATGGCCCACTATAAAGCAGGTTGGAGTCTTATAAACCCCAACTACAACCGTATAATGTGGTTTCACTGTACATCAATACCTCACACATGAGATGCAGTTGAAACGACCCCTGAACACCAAAATAAACACTCCGGCTCTTGGCTCAGTTAGCCCACTATTCTTGCACATTCTTACCTCGCTATTTTGTGGCATCGTGTGTGGTACGCCAATACATAAATGAGCGCTTTAGTGCAGAGTTTAACAAAGGTATGCTTCTCCGTTACGCGTTCCAGCACACTATCCTTTTAATACAGTATTTTTGGAGAAACAATGAATTCAAAAAAAGTGCTATTGATTCCACTAAAAGAAACAAATCCAAAAGATACTCACACCTATAGTTTCCCTAGTTGGTCAGCATTACCATTACACTTAAAGATATCGTACACACAAATGTAGCACTCACGTATCGAGGCTAACACTCTAATGCAGTGCTGGTGGTATGTTGCTTTGTTACAGGTGCGTCCTTCGGATGAGACATTAAATCAAGGACCCATTTGCCTGTTCAGATGGACAATAAAGATCCTATGATACTACTTGAAAAGAGAAGGGCACTTCTCATTGTGTTCTGCGCAACAATAACCCCACAAATAAAATTGTTCACTCACTTCATGGCTGTTTGGAAATTGGCTGCCACATTTGCCTACAAAATACACAGTCACTACACTTTACAGTAAATTCCATGAAGTGCTTTCAGACAGCCTCCGAACATAAAAAGTACTATATCAATGCCAAAATATTATATCAATAATAATAACTACAAGATTTTGCATTCCTAGTAAGTGGGGCTGATCCCATTTATTTATAGCATAATTTGTTCCCTATTTCAACATGTGTTACAGTGGCAGATTCTATGGACTCATTGTCATACTGCACAGCCGACCAGAGGCAGGTGATTCAAGGGAAGTTCCCTTGGGCAAAGAAGGGGGGGGATTCAGCCATTTCATGTAAAACCTGTTTGATTTTGCATCCTGTGTATTGATGGTACCAGTAGGGGTACTCTTTTGGATGATTTACCAACTCCCAACAGTGTAGAGGAACAAAGTTAATATCATTTCAAACCTTCATTAAAGCAGAGTACTTCAGCTTGAGTTCATTCAGGACCTTCATACTGCTAGTATTTATCTCCTCCAAGCCATGCCTTGGAAAAATGCCTCCAGTAAAGCAGTGTGATAAATCCTATTCTCCTCACTGTAGCAGTGCTTGATTGTTAATGCACACTATGCTCAACACCTTGAGTAAAAATGCTAGAATCAGATGCAGTATTAATATTACAGTTTGCAATCTTATTGAAGCATTGGGCACACAAATAATTTGCTAAGGTTATCACCTCCCGTGTAACTGACTGTGGGAATACTATCTGACGGAACTGCTTTAGAAAAGGGAATGATTGTAGTTGGATGATGAGAGCTAATCAGTGTATTAAATCAAGCTGTCTATTATCAGTGGTAAACTTTAATATTTTGACGCACTTTTTTCTAATAGCTTCAAGATGATACATTTCCTTTATCAGATCCTGTACTAGTACCTATAAACACTAAACTGGCAGTTTATGGGCCAATGTAGTGTGCAAATTGAATGCCGAATTCACTCACAAAATACACAAACTCTCCACTTTGCAGCATATCTTATGACTTCTTCCTGGTTTGACAGATGTTATATCAAATACAAGGATTGTTGTTATTATTAGAATTATCGATATTAATAAACATTTGAGATGAGTTTTTCAGAAGCGCATTTGATCTGAAAACCTAAAGTCTGTGTTGCTTAAAACTGCCCTGTGTTAAATCAAGTTGTGTTAAAATCATTGACTAAATTTTTTTTTCAATTCTCACAGTCGCTCTACCTCCAGAAAAGACAGATGGCTTTAACAATGTGACTGAGAAGAGAATAGAAAAGGGAGCTGCACAGAGTGGCGTGAAGAAGCAACTCAAATTTGAAGTGAGTTTTTTTTAGAAAGTTAAACCTACGTACTTGTGACTATATACAGTCACTCGATCCACTTCTTAAACCAAAGGAAAAATTGAATGGATGAATAGTTTTCATTCCTGTGCATTATCAGTATGCACAATGAAATGTTCTTGCCTTAGTCAAACCTTGTGAATGTGCCCAATCACACACTGGGGTTATTTTTACACTGATTTGAGTTTTAAAGGCATAGTGAAAAGTTTGCTATTTTTAGTAATCAGCATAATTCAATTATTTCACAAAATTCACTCCCCCTATTCTAGTGCAATTTATTCAAGAGATGGCATACTAAGGGCTTTTTGCCTATGTCAAATTTGTCATTGCTTGTTCCTGGTCTGTGGGAGGTTTCTGCATGCAGCAAAGACTTGGGTTCATCCAGATGCTTTTGTGAGTGCAGTGGGTTAAAACAATTCCTTCAATTCAGTTGTAAAGTATTTTCCACCCAGGAGAGGAACAAGAACTACGATTTATAACACAGCTCCTTATATTTCAGAAGCAGTCACTGGTGGCGAAGATTCCCTACCCCTCATCCTCTCCCACACAAGAGGCCCTGTTGTAAAGCTCATACTAATATACATACACATCCAGCTAATGCACTTACATAACTTTTTCATGTTTGTTTAATTACTTGAGGATCCCCCTGTGGCCTTGATGAACATCAAATTTTTGTGCAAATTAGAAATGAATGTACTTGTTTTGCCCAACTCCGCATCTGCATAAAAAAAATTAAAGAATTCAGCTCTGCTGATCTCAGCCAGAGTTGCTTGGGGGTAGGCCTAAATTAGCCACAGCTTTCCCAGGGTAAGGGAAGGGGAAGAACAAGGGTTCCTGCTCCTCATCCCTTCTACGGTACCATCCACTGGTTGTGGCAGCCTATTGGGGAGAGGTCAGGCTGGACTGAGATGCCCTCTATATTTGAGCAGCCTGCAGACATCTGCTGACATATGAACAGCAGTCACTTGAGTGGTGTACTAGAGAGTAAACAGTGCATGTGGAACTGCATCCTAGCAAGAAGCGGCCAGACCAGGAGCAGAGGCGTGTGTCATTGGGGAGCAAATTGGAAAAAAATAATTAGACACGCTATATATTTCAACAAACCAATCAACTCAACATTACTTGTTGGTTTCAACCAATAAATATGTACTCTGTGTGTGGCAGAATAAAATGAGATCAAGAAAAATTACTTCAGGAAAAAAAAATTTGCCCACAAAGTTGCAACATTTGCTCGAAGTTGATGAATTCTAGCTTTTCGTCTGCTCGGAATAACAATTTACTTTGATGATAATGCTAACAGTCGGGCCGTTTAGATGACACTAACACACAGAGGCTTCAGTTTCTATCCGACTGATAGAAGTCAAGAGAATCTGGATGGATAAAACTTTGATGTGCTGGGATATACACTGCAGCAAAGGGAAATATTTGAGTTTGCAAGTGACAGATTGCTTTCTGAAAGAGAGCATGGTTTTAGTTTCATTGAGTTATAACAGCAAATTCTGCATGCATCAAGGGCATGGGACTGTAATCAAGAATTTAACCCTCTCACTGAAACACAAACAATGGTAAATTGCCTCCTCCATTTGCTCAGTGGGTCAATGTGCCACCTGATGTGGTTACTGGACCACATGCACCAAGGAAATGTTAGCCTTAACTACTGGTCTTGAGCTCTTAATCTCATCCAAGGCGGTGATGGAGTCACATGATTCGATGAAGGATGGAAAAAATCGATCCAGGTTCCCATTTTAATCACCATCCAATGACCCCTGGCAGTAAGTGTGTGGGTGGGTGTTGATTGAGGACAGGATTGAACTCAGCCAAGCTTGAATACTGAACTCGTACATAAAGAGCGATCACTTGGATGAGATAATGAAGGAATTATTATTCCATCCCTTTAAAAAACAGGAGGGATATGTGTGTAGGGAATATATCATTATAGAGCAAACCCTGATTTCAAGATTAATGCAGGCACAAGAGTTTTGAAACTAAAATGAAAAGTATATACTCTTCTGAGAGCAGAAATAATTCCTCTCCACATGCACATCACTTGCAGTCCTTTGCTTAATTCCACCTAAAAGAAAGCAAGTTAGAAGTTTGACCTTTTACTTATTTATAAAAAGAACACTCGAGTATGAAAATGGATTGTGTTTTTAATCCGCATTAAGTTGCTGAATGAATGAATAAGCAGATGGAGGTATAAGTGGTGAGGTTGGATCTGTTGCTGTAAGCTTAATAACTTGTCACAAATTGACTATGTTAGGAATTCACTGTAATTGCAAAGAGCATCGGCAAACTTTCACAAGGTTTGGTGAGGTATGTAAAGATAATTATTACACCTCTATAAAAATTTGGACAAAAAAGGCAGTATATTTACTCTGTTAATATCCATGCCACCAATTGAAAGACACTTTAGCATTCTGTGCCTTGTGCTGAACTCGGCAATCTGCTAATTGTTATGGTGCACAGTTGTATCAAGGCTTGTGTGCCTGTGTTGAGAGTCTGAAGTAGCCCTTAAACTGCATTTTACAGGAGCTGGAATGTGATGTATCTGTAGAGGAAGACAACAGGCAGGAGTGGACATTCACTCTGTATGACTTTGATAACAATGGGAAAGTCACTCGTGAGGTAAGCTGGACAGATGCTCACACCCATGTTTTGAATGCTTCCCATTCCCACCAACATAAACTTTGTTAAATCCTTTTTTGTCTTCTTCAAACTTGACCTGTCATAATCTGAACAAATAGGAAACACTGAGCGAAAATTTCATCACCAGTGTTTTATGAATAGAAATCTTAAAACCCAGGCTTTGAAAACAGTATAATAAGCAGTGTTGATGTGATTGAATGGACTGTCAAGTTACTGAGTAATGAGTTGGGTTCAGTTAGGTTCAGTCGAGTTGAATCCTGTTAACGTTTTGATCCTTAAAAGGAGTGTGGTTGAGCACTTCCATTGTGGATTGGGTTCTAGTGTTTAGATAAGAATGGTTGAGTTTGCACAGTGGTCAGTTTTCATCTGTAATTCTTCTTCTGCAGCCCTTGGGAGTTCTCAGCAATAAAACTTGCCTTCCAACCTGACATTCCAGTTGCTATTTATTTGCCCTGTTAGTTTTCAATTGTAAATTCATAGCTGATTGCAAAACAAGAGATGCAACTTTAAACCGTGCTGGTTTTGGTTCATGGGAAAAGCATAGAGTTTCAAAACATTTATTTTATGACTGGCATCTCCCACTTGGCCTACATTATCTTGAACACACTATAGAGCATTTCATTTGCAAGCTAGGCATGTGCGGACAACCGCACTGGAACCTGTTGTTGCATTGATTAGCTCAATGGGCTAGACTCTGTAAGATCAAGGAAGCTCCTGCTTCCTACTTGCCAGTAAAGTGGAGGCAAATCTAACTAGGCACCTACAAAGGTTTGCATTGTTCATAAAAGTACAGTACTAATGATCCCTAACTAGCTTTAGCTGGAACTGAGGATTGTGAATATTTTTCTTGTCCACCCTGTTATCCCAAGTCGGCTGTATCAACAGCTAAATAATTGGAAGGGGGAATCAAATCAAAATACTTTTCATGCAGTTTAAGAAGCAAACGGAAAAACTCCCAAGAAAATAACGTCTACCTTGGCATTCTGACTTAATGCGCTACTGCAAAGCCATGGTTATTTTCCTTCACCATCCAATCACAAATTTCCACATAACATACCAAATGAATTACAAAAAAAGTAAAATTATACTTGAAAATGTGTTGAAAACACTGCAGCTTATTGAGGACATCAAGTTTATTTCCAGAATTGGTATTATTTATAGACATTCTTTCAGTGCAGTGCAGTGCGCAAGGAAGGGCAAAGTCAGTGAAACAGCCACAATAATAATAATAGTAATCCTTGCATTTGATATAACACTTTTCACGTATTCTAGACGTCTCAAAGCGCTTCACAGAATATGCTGTATATTTGTGGGCAAACCGCTGCAGCTAATGGAGTGTCCCACAAACAGTTGTGGATTGAAAATGACCAATTTATTATTGTTTCGGAGGAATTATTATTAGGCATGAGGAGTAAGTAAACTTGCCCAAGGTTTTGCCTGCCTTGTGTGGATATAGATTTAATGACAATTCAGTTACCCTGAGTTGACAGACGTTGGGAACATACCTCGCCGGCTGCTCTTGTACAGTGATGATGGTGTTGGGCAGTTCCCCTTAAGGTGGAATTGCCCTATCGTCATGCCCTTTTATTTTGATATGTTAGGACTGTTGCAACTAGTGGTTTATTGGGGGCACATGGAGGTTTTGTTGAAGTGGAGTCACTGAGAGGGAGGGCCAAAAATATTATCCAAAAATAAGTTAGTTGGTTGTGGTAAATTTCAAAGCACAAGGTTGGTTTGTACTGAAAAAAAGTCCTTGGGGTCATCTGATCTCATCCCTTCAGAATACCTACCTTACCATCCTCCGCATCAAAGCCTACTATCCTCCCATGAAATGTATTAGATCCCAGCAAAATCAATAAAGTCTTTATAAAACATGAGGACCAGTGTCTCTGAGCTGCAGAATCATAGATATTATTGTAAAGAAGGAAGTTATTCAGTTCATCGATATTCCGCCTTTGGAACTACCTACACTTACCCCGACTTGATGTTGCTTCCTGTTCCCCTTTATCCTTTTGTATTGTTTCTTTTCAAATACTACTCCAATTGCCTAGTTAAAAGTTGTCACAGTCACGGCTATAAGCACAGAGGTGGGATGTTTGACTCCAAAACAATTGAGACGAAAGTTGATGAACACACACTAATTGGAGTTTGGAGTTAACCATTGTCAGCTTTCTTGCTGGTGAAAATTACATTCAATCATTAAACTGAGGTTAAAAGAGGAAGGACGCCAAAATGAAAAAGAAAAATTGCCAAATTCCCTGTTGTAAAAGAATCGTGAAAAAATAACACCTATGTGGAATGTATTTGTAAATTAAATATTGAACACAGACTGATTAGCTGCTGAAGTCCTAGCAAAAAACTCAATTACTGTGCTCTGTGTGTATAAGGAGATGAATGCCCAAGCTATCAGCATGAAAAATACAGGCTAATATCATTCTCTGCTATGCTACCCTTTTATTTTGCAGCTTTTGAAGGCCCAATTGTTCTCTCATGGTGTTTGGAGAACTGATAGTTACGCTGTAATTATCTTCACAGGGACCTCAGTAAAAGACTTGGAATCAGAATTATTAAACTTAATCTGTTTGATCCACAAAGTTTTACAGATGCACAGCTTAATACAGATTTAAATCTTTGCATGCTAGAGCTGCTTGGTGGTTTACATTTGTCTCCATTGTAATTTGTAGTGTAATTCGAAACCTTGTAAAAACAAGGGCTGTATACATTTGTTCTAATGAACACAGAAGATGCCTAGTTCTTTCAGTGCACAGCTTTGCTATAGGATTAATTTAATCTGGAAAGTATCCTCATGTTGGGGAGAGTTTCACACAAGGATCTCTCTGAGGTTTTGAAGAGAGATATTTGACCCGTGGCAGGTCTAGAATCGAGGCAGGAATGGAGGTGAAGACATATTGTGTCCGAATCGCTGGACTGTAACTGTGCCTGTACTTTTATCAAAAAAAGGACATAGTTTCCTAACACCTTGGTAACATTTTGAAGTTGTGTTATTATTATGTCCAATGATTGGTGGAACTTCTTCCTTCTTTAACCAGGGTACAGGGGAAAAACGAGAGGAGGGACTGGGTGTCTTGAGTGGATTAGTACCATCTCTGGAAACTGGGATAAAGTCCAGGGTAGAACTCATGAGTTGAAAGACTCATCTTTTGAATGGCTGCCATGAGCTGAGGTGAAATGTATGTTTTGCACAGGAGGTTGGGGGAAAGAATCTACAGTGCAAAACTGACCAGAATTTGACATAGAATCTCATGACGTTGCCAGAATAATTTAGAGACTATATAGTGTTAACTTTGGGGAGCTACGGAAATAGTGTTGCAGTAGGAAATGATCTTTTGAGGTGAGGCTAATAAATATTATGATCACAAGAGGTTTAGATGAAGAAGACCCTTTTGACTTATTTCATCTCATCCTTTGATCCCAGTGATGATACATTTCCTTTGTACAGGAATCCATCACAATTGGCATAGCCTTAAAATCAGAACCAAGACACTTAGAACTGATGTTAGGATCTATTTCTTCACACAGAGGATTTTGAAAAACACATTGCCAAACTTCTGGATGGGCACACATCGCCTTATATCAAAAATTAAAGTCTTTATTTAGCCTCAAAATCCCATTGCACCATTCGAAAAGAGAAGGGAGTTTCTCCCGGTGTCCTGGTGAAAAAATTCCCCAAATAAAATTGGTCACTCACTCCATGATGGTTTGTGGGACATTGCTGCGTTTCACCCACAATTCACTTTACAGGTTATCCTGTGATGCTCTTTGAAACGTCTCAAAGACCTGATAGGACCCTGTATCAAATGCAAGAATTATTATTATCCAATTTAATGTACATATGTAGAACAGAGTTTCACCCTTCCATCATCGTATTCATGTCATTTTTATCTCACTGTATATAAAAGGGGGAACTTTACCTTAGAATTGTGGTTTGTAAACATGTGTCTGAATGTTACATTGCTGGGATACTCCCAACAGTCTTGTTGCAATACCTTTACAGGACATTACTAGTCTTCTGCACACAATCTATGAGGTAGTAGATTCATCTGTAAACCACTCGCCAAATACCAGCAAAACCCTGCGGGTTAAACTGACCGTGACACCCGATTCAAGCGAGAAAACGAAAGGTCAAATGTGGCAGACAGGTAAGATTTCCATTTGATTTGCAAAGAGAAGATGGAGAAAGGGGAAATGCTCCATCTCCCTGGTAAAATTAATAGAATTTCTTTTTACAGCCCGGGATTTCCAATATAAACTCCAATAGAACGTTACAGCGCAGAAACAGGTCGTTTGGCACTTTAGTTTACCGTTAGTTTAATAAGCAGTTAACCATTAGATGAGTTCATGGAGATACCGCAGGACTGCTTCTTAACCATGATACAGAAGGGACAAAGAGACATTATTTAATATTTAGCAAGTAAAGTTGACTTGAGGCAAGATGTAGAGATTTAAACTTTGAGGAATGTTAGCAATCATTTATTATTTCATCATGGATAGAATGAAATACAATTCAAGTGAGAAAAAAGAATTACATTTCTTGCAAGCTGATTTCAGAATCAGGGTTAACACGGGGAGACTCTATTGATAGAAAGGTACCACTCAAAGAGAAAGTGTTTAGAGATATACGTACCAAAGATTCTAAAAAGTAAATATTTATCTTAAAATCGAGACATTAAATAAGGAAAATAAGTTAATATAAATAATAATATAAATAGTAAACAAATAATTTTTAAGTAAGATTTAAGAAAACCATGTATATGATCGGTAAAATACATGTATATTCAATTTAAACTTACCAAATACATAATAGTCTGAAAAGAAAACAAATTGGGACGATATATCACAAGGAATATGAAAGGCAATAGAATGAGTGTTTTTTGATACGTTCACAGTAGGCAAAGCATTAAAGATGAAAGTGGGCCATTTAGAGCGAAGAAGGGTGAGATAGTTGGAGAGAAAAATATTATGAATGAAATGTTGAATGTTTTCTTTACACCAGTTCTCATTGAAGAAAGTCGTGGCATTTTATTTCTGGAATGCTGGTTCATAGCAACAAACTAGCCATTAAAACAAAGACTGTAACTGGAGCACCTGATTATTCATAAGAAAACAGAACCAAACATAATGCATCCAAGTAAGGATAGAAATAAAAGGAATCAAAGTGCTTTGAAGCTGAAGAGTATCACCAGATGATTAGAAAATAGCTAATGTTCCAGTCTATGGAAAACGTCAGAAACTTGATCCTTGGATCGTCAGTTTGAACTAAAATATGAAAAGGGATGGCACCTATTACAAAGAAAGCAATTCAAACACATCGGATAACAGTAAAGGCAGCTCCTTGAGTCTGTGAAAGGAAGACTATGTTTTACACAATTTATTGAAATGTTTATAGATGTAACAGGATTGATGGACAAGAGTAATGTGATACTGGTTTGGATATTCAGGCTTTCAGTAGGTATTTGCCACAAAAGGATTTCTGTTAAAAAGTGGGATTATGGAGGATGTTGTGAAATGGAGCACAAATTGGCTATAGACTGAGAAACACAGGGTAAATCACAAGGTTTGGATGAAGGCACATGTTCTTTTTGTGATTGGGAGGGACACCAGGAACCTCATGCTCATGCTGTCTGTAGCTAGCTTCTATGACGATGTCTCTATCTCTAATCTTTCCACCATCCCTGTGGGACATATCTCACCTCCCTTTAGCACTCTCCACGATAGCACTGCAGAGATCAGGAATCATACATAAAAACACATAGTTTGGCACACAAATTATTGGAACTAAGGAGGCAAGATGGTCCATTTGACACTGAAGACTAAAGCAGCAGTCTTTTCACACCCTCTTTGAGGGTTTGGGTTACTTAGATTATTTATATCCAAATAATAATCACTCCCTCTTTGTAGTCCCATTCGTGTAGGTGTGTTTAAGGGATCAGTGTAAACTGTATCCTATTGTGCTACAGTGCTGCAGATGTGTTTAAGTGATCATCTACATCCTATTGTGCCACAATGTTGTTAGTGTGCTATTTTGATGGTGAGTTCCCACATTGTAAATGCTCAGAATCAGTAACTATAACTGTCCCAAAAAATCATAGGAAAAAGTGCTAATTCATCCAATCTCACCTGCATTAGATCTGCATTGTTCAAGGCAGAAAGCTGAAATCAAGTCTGCTGAGGAATTCAAGAACACAGAGAAGAAAAACCGGGCTCCCCTCAGGTAAGGAGCTAGTTTGCTCTATTAAAATTAGAATCAGAAAATATCCCGAGATGTTTAAAATGTCGCAGCAGGTATCAGGATTACATTATAGAATTTCACACCTCTTTCAGATGATCTGAAGCAAAATTATTGCCTTACATAGGAACACTCCATATAGAGTTGAGAAACACTCGGGATTTCTGTGGTGCGCTTGGGGGTATAATATGCTAAACTCAATAAACTGGGATGACTCTAGACTTTAAATAACTTTGCTTTGATGTAAAGGGATGAATGAACCATGATTATTATTGGGGAGGGAAATAAGCAGGAATTTATGGGAAAGAGATCTCTGTGAGGGGCACTTGCTAATTACATTCTCTTCCTCAGACGCCATAACAGCGATCAGCACCCCCATCAGAGTAAGTGCCATCGTCATTGTGTGGATGAGAATACTGAAAGGAGAAACCACTACCTTGACTTGGCAGGGATAGAGAACTACACCTCCAAATTTGGACCAGGTACTTTAGGACCAACCAGATGGTCTTCCCGGGGTTGCATATATTCCTTTGAGGTTTACATTAGAGCGGATACATTAAAGCAAAGATAGAATTTCTCATGCAGAAATTTTGTGATATATGATGATTTGCTCCTCTTAATTTTCTTTGGTGTTCGTGGGATAATCAACTATAGGTTGAGCCTGATCCTGTGTTTCCGCATAAAGTTAGCATTCCAGCACTATATTTTCCCTTCCTTAATCTAAAAATTGTCACATTTTATCATGAAATTTCCAAATAGAAATTTAAATGCAGAAAAAGCATTCAACAAATACTTTTTTCAAGGATAAATATCACAATATTGGCTTATACGATACTTTCAAGCTATTTTTCAAATGCTCGAAAACCACTTTGACATGCTGGAGACGTAGTTAAAAAAATTCATCTAACTCAACACCGACTGAGGGAATTGAACCAAGGAGCAACCTGGTCTGGTCTATATGCTTCAGCAGCATGCCTCACAGGGATTATGCTCTGCTTTCTGTAAATTGTACGTGGTGTGTGCTTGTAACAGGGTCTGGAGTGGTAGAATGGGTGTTTGTGCCAGACACTCCTCTTTGTGTAGGTGACAAACAGAATTAAGATTTGTTGCTGTGTAGGGGGGCAGTAGGGGTCATTCCTGCCCACTGTGACACATCACCCAGTATAGTACTGCCCTCAGAGTTAGCAGGAAATTTATTTTCCACTATGTGCGTCAGGGAAAGGGTGTGTGACACGGGGGAACTAACTGTGAAGGGCAAAATAATGGGATTAACTTTTAACACTCATTTAACATTTTACTTGTATCACATAAGATCAACAAGGTTAAAATATTTCCTTTCAATTGACTAATGCAAGTATTTATCCCACAGGTTCACCTCCAGTGGCTTCTAGAAAGGAGAATCACACAAAGGTTCCTCACCAGGCCAGGTCCCGATCCCATGAGCCTGAAGTCATGTACAGTCACCATAGGAGATCTCAAACCATGGATCCAGGCCACAGCCACCATCACGAGTCTCCAAACACTAGGGTGATTGAACTGCAACATAGACTGCGAAATCAGGACTTGAACAAGCACTTAGTCAAATCTCCCAAAACCCTGAGCAAAAATGTGCTGGCCTCAGCCCCAGCTGGAAAGGTTGGAAAGAACAAGCCTTCACAAGGTCCCTACATGCCACTGACCTCGACTCCTGTGGTTGTAGGCCCAAATATTCCATATTTACCCATGCAACTCAGCCATCAGCATCAGCAGAGCTATAAGAAACACAGGCAAAGATCTAAGGACAACCATCATGTGTATAAAGCTTTCCATCCCCCTTCAAGAGTGGTAGAGCAGGAACATGTCAGGGATTTGCCATCTGTTTTACTCTATGAAGGCCATGTTGGTCGAATTGTTCAGAGACATGAACACCATCACCACCATGAGCATCATCATCACTACCACCACTTCTACCAGACATGAGCAGACAGGGTATGTATGTAACAAGAACTTAAGCTAATGGAACCATAGTACCCGATTTGAAGGAGAGCTTGACTGGATTCTGTGGTCTTTGACCCATGGCAGTATTGTTATTAATTCTAAGTTAGAAATTCTGTACTTTGAGAGTCAAACATAAATGAGAAATGAAGTGAAACTAAAAGACTTTTGAACAGCTGGCTACCTCTAGTGTTAATTCAGATTTTGTTTTCTTTAACCTACGAAATGTGCCACAAAGGGGTTTTTACTGCTCTGCGTACTTGTAACCTTTTTTTGTGTTGTCCAGACTTATCATTTCCGTTCTTTGCATTTGAATTGTTATCCATGTTGAGATTCACACTAACCACGCTTTGCCAACTCCTCAGTTTGTATTGGACTGTACAGATAGCTCTACATTCTCGTGGTGAATCATCACCAATTCTTGTACATCAATGAGTAATTTACAACCGAAGGCATATATATATATATATATATATATATTTTTGCAGAATTTAATTCGTCAAGAACTGAAGTGTGCAGAACACACCCAAGGCATGCTCCGAAGGTTAACATTTTAACTTAAATATTTTGCATGGAGTGAATGGGCAAGTCAAAACAAGGAGTTCTGTTTGTAATTTCTAAAATGACATTGAAGTCTCCACACTATTTAGGGCCATGTGCTGCAGACCAGAAGCTAACCTCTTGAAATATTATACACAAACCCTTAGGTGTATCATGTGTATGTTTGACATGTGTGCCCAGTGAATTGTCTTCAATCTACTAAAAGTGTTCATTTGAGTCCAAGCCTGTTATAGTCCAGTGGTAATATCAGTCCATTGCCATCTACTGGCTTTGTTAAACACAAGGTCAGTTCACTATTGACCCTGTTTCAAGGGAATTTCTGTGGCACAGAAGGCTGAATTCCCTTATTACGTTTCAGAGAAGTTGGCAACTATATATTATATCTCAGGTGCATTGTCTTTTTAAAACTATGGTTTGACTATTTTTGTTTTTGAGAAACGAGTCTGTTCTGTGGAGTTTTCGTTTGTGGTGCAAATAATGGAAGACAGGATGTGACTTGATAGACCCTACTTTAATCTTGAATCTTACCAAAATAACATAGGATATCATTGGACAAAGATAGCTCCCTTATGATGGTAAGTTAAGAACTTCCTTCACGAGTGACATCAATTATACAAATAAAAGATGGCCTGAAACTGACTGGGGTTAATGAGATATCCTATTCCTTACTCTATAGGCCAGAATCTTAATCACTGTTTTAGACTAATTCTAAGATGCTATTATTGCTGCTGTTGAGTATCAAAGTGTTAAGCCCCTTTCACACAGCAATAATACACCACTGTAAAAACAGCGAATTTTACTGTGCTACCAAGGTCTGTAGTGGCAGTTCTCAAAGACAGCATATCTGCTGGAAGAATGAAAAATTCACCACGAATTTTAGGTCAGTCTCTACCTCGGTTAAAACTTATCAACGTTCTACTGACTTCTCTGATAGTTTTTGCAGTTTGTTGTTGAAACATTTTACCAATATCACGAGGTGAAACTGGTACAGGACTTTTGCTCCTTGTATTAGTCAGTGCAATAAATCCAGAGATCCCTTGCTTTTCAAATCACATGGTACACTTTCGCTGCTTTTCTGACCGTGTGATTGGGTCATGGAGCCTGGTATCCGCTCTTGTCTACTATAATGTAAATTGGTGAAGAAAGAAAATGCTAAGGATGTGGTAAAGAACCACTGTTTGTGCGTATTATACAGAATAATGTACTGTATATGTGTGTGTGTGTGTGTGTGTGTGTGTGTGTGTGTGTGTTAACCTGTGGATATATCACCCCAATGTTTTCCAGAAGTAAATTGCTGTGTGAATGGGGCGTTGTGTAAAATAAACTTTGGAGTATGATAGGTTTGAAAGGACTGTGCCATGGCAGTGATATTGTTGTTACTCGTGGCCCATAGAATGAAACATTTTTAAGAATGTACTTTTTCTTTGCAAATGCATCTTTTGAGGAAAAACCTTTATATACACACTTCAAAGGACCTCCTTCAGATTTACCAATGACTTGTGGAGGACACAAGTGTACTCCTTTGTCTGCTGACTCGAGTTTTCCTCTGTTAAAGCGGTGTCTTGCAAACTCTGCTTGTATAGCGGACTTCAAAATATACTTTGTATTTATAAAATATATTGGACTGAAAATGACATGAGTGTCTATAAAGGACATTGGCTTTTTGTGTCCTAGTGTTTAACTATTACTAGCCCTGTGTTAACAAGTTAAATCTAATGCAATCCTGTAATCCAGCGTTAGTATATTGTACTCATATGTATACATTCCCATCTTGTATAATGTTTTCTGACAGCCATGTATAAAAACACATATTTAAATTTAAAGCTGTATTCAGTACATATTGTACCGTTCAGTTGTGAAACTACTTATGTAACACAGTTCATAATGTTCTCTTCTGAAAGCAAATTGGTTTCTGTATCCCTATAATTGAATATTTTTCTTTTCAGTATTTTGTATAGTATATATAGATGTTTTTGATTAAATGCTTTATTTATTTAATAGTAAAACTGTGTCAACAGAAACCCCTTTTCATTAAAGGTAAACTAGTCAGTTATATAAAAGAAATCCGTGTCCCTGTGCATAATTATTTGACAATGTTTAGAAAAAGTCAAATCAGTTAATATGAACATGATTCTTTCTGCAGATGTACCAGAGGGTTGTGAGAATGTGAAACTCACTGTTGGAAACTGGTTGAAGCAAAAAAGCATTGTGTATTTAAGAGGAAAATGCATACATAAGGGTGAAGGGAATAGAGGGAGTAAAGGAGAGGGGATTCGGAGGGGTGGAGGCTCATGGTGAGTATAAACATAGTCAAACTAGTTGAGGTTATTGGCCTATTTCTATGCCGTATCATTCTGTGTAATTCTATGTACCGACTCTTGGCTCAAAAATGCTGTATAATTACTGTACAAACAATTGTGGTAAATGAGAAGATTGCTAATCAGAAACAATGCCTGATAAACGTATCTGTAAGTACTGCAGTCTGCAGGACTGCCTCACTCACAATCATTGGATGTGAGTGAGCATTACTTTATTACAGTGCATCAGGGACCAGTGATTTGTAATGTGTCTGCTTGCCATTTTGGCAAAAAGGCAAAGTCTCACTAAGAGAATAAGAGAATTGCTTTTAGCCTCTTGAGACCCTGTAAGTTATGTTGCATGCACAGCTTCAATCAAAGCATTTACATTATTCATGTTGCGAAAAGTTTGAAAACAAATAATTGCTAATAATTAAAGTTCCGAGAAGAAAGAAATGACTTGTGTTTTTGTAGCGCCTTATCACAACGATACGTTTCAAAACACTTCAGACAGAAGTGTAGAATGTTTGTAGGCAAATACAATAAGCATTTGCTCGAACAACATCCCGCACACAGCCTTGAGTTAAACATCATGTGGCTCGTGAGACGTATAAACACTAGCAAGGACTGGTTGGGTTGCATGGCCTTTTTCTGTGCTGTAATGTTGTATGTAATTCTATGTCACACAGTTATTCTGGAGGATTGTTGAGCAGGACCACCAGGAAAAACTCCCTTCATTTTACAAATAATGTCATGAGATCTTTAACTTCCACTTAAAAACAGATAGGACCTTGGTTTAAAGCCAAACCAAAAAAGTATCTCCTGGAACACTGCAGAGTTCTGATAAGGGAATGTAAACCTACACTTTGAGCTTAATATGACCAACATGAAGGGACAGGCTGCATTTTATATATAATAAGAAAAAATATAAATTATAACTTGTTATCCTTCTTGTCCAGTTTCCTTCTCCCATATTATTGTTCTTGCATATAACATACACACAATTTCCAAACTTAAAATGATTCCTTCCAGCCCCTCACAAACACGCACATTTTTCAAGAGTGTTGGTATGCAACAACTGCACAATAATAATAAGCCTTGTATTTGATATAGAGCCTTATAATGTCATTGACATGGCTCAAAGCGCTTCACAGAATACTGTATATTGTAAAGTGGATTGACTATATTTTGTGGAAGAAACATATATATATATTATACAATATGCTAAATGTCTCAGATGCTGTTTGTATTTGCAAACACAGATCACACCAGCTACAGTACCATCACTACAGGTGGAATCTCCTTCCTGGGATTGTCTACATAAATAGTATTTTAAAAATAATCCTGCATCCCTTGCAAACAAAGTATGTTCTGTGTGCAAGTTTTGAACTATAATCTACACTTTGCATCCATCATGCTAATCTAGGATTGCTTGTACCTTAGGACTCACCTTCCACAATCAGTTTTAGAAATAAATAAAGGCTTATTTATTTGTTACCTTTTTCACGTAATCACAACTAGTCCAATTAGGCAGTGAAGAATAGCGGATATACAAGTACAAAAGAAGCATCAGGCAATTAATATCAGGAACTTAATAATAGACATCAGAATGTATATTTCTGTTCAAATTCAACTGTATGTAAACTGGATGGAACAGATTCCTCATGCTTTTTTTTCCCATTTTGCTCCTGGCTTTCTTTAATATATGCAAATCTATATCAACTAATTTGTTCATTCTGCCCTATTGGGTATAATAAAATACCGTTGTATAAGAGGAAGTAAAAAGGAGGTAAGTATGAATCTGGCGATGGCAGTAATTGTAAATATATTTGACATTGAAAGTAGACCATGCAAAATTCTCTACGTGGATAAGATTTTGCATTAAACCCTTAAATAATCAGCCCATGCAAGTGGGTTTTCTTTAATGGTTCCCTAAAGACTATTTTTGTACACGGTGCCAGTTCTAAAACAGAGGGTTAGGTTTGGGTCCCAGTTTGCACATTATCTGAATCCTGTAAAAACAAGTGGCAGTGCTGAGAGTTACTGATTCCACAGGGATGTTGCCTTCACCAACACACCAATAAATATAACAGTGATTTGACAGGAATGGAAAGACTCAAAGCATGGATCCATTTCTACTTAAATTCCAAATATAATAATACAATAATAAGATATAATGTTTATTATAAAGCACATTTGGGATTAATATATTGGGATTTTTAATGGCTTTCCTCAATTAGGGAATCTCAGTGGGAATTCCTTCCAGACACGGAAGTATGTTCTGTAAGTCGAACTGACTGCTAAAGTTTCTGATTAACTAAGTTTTGACAACAGTGCAAACTATTAATATGTGCAGTATTTTTAAAAAACTTTATGGTGTCTCATTTATTTACTGAAACTCCAGGCATATTAACATCTGATAGGCATTATATACATGGCTTGAGAGAGTGTGAGAAAGCAAGGAGGGAGGCGAGGAGTAAACATTACGCCAGGTCAGAGAGAAATCTTGGGGGAATTTACCCAGTTTGAATGAACTGACCCCAAACAAACGTTTGCCAATTTTCTTTGAACAAATTGTTTCTTCTCTATTCCCTTACTCCAAATCATAGGGACAGGGAATTGAATTTCTCTATTTAACATAACATATAGCTCAATATCTCCCTTGGATTGATTCCACAAATACCACCAATCTTGTTAGGTGTATTATCTTAACAGCATTCTTAGTGCAGACAATTTAGCATGTCAACAAGAAAAACTATTTGATTGCTATTTCATGTAATCCAAACATTTCTGTCTAAATGTTAGACACTTAGGGCATGTTAATACACATAAGTCTCTTAATATGTTTACGATAGTTCATAGAATATTTAGTGAACTCATTGTAGCTCTTTGTCACAACAAATATCAAATAATAATAAAGAAGGCTCTCAGTGAGCTGCCACAGTAGCATTTACCTCTGGTAAATTCTGTTTCTCTGTTCTGAGTTTTATTTTCCTCCAGATATTTCTCACTTTGTGGTACTTTATGTGCATTGGAATGACCTTGCTCTCTATTTATGGCATGTTGTAGTTGCATAGTTGCATTCCCTGTAAGAAAGAATTACATTGAAAAGGCTAGCCTGAATTGGTGGGAGCACTCTTGCCTCTGAGTCAGAAGAAGGTTGTGGGTTCAAGCCCCATATTGATTGTATCTATATTTGCAGCATTGTGATTAGACCACTAATATGTAAATGCTTTAATATGTGAGTGTTCTAAGATGCTATTCCTGCATGAATGACACTATATAAATGCATATTTGTAGTAATTTTCTCATTTAATTTCTGTTCTGATACTCTGGGAGTCAGCTGACTCCACTGACCAAAGCTTAACTGGTTGAGAGAACTGGCCATTATTACAGTAATGCCTTTATTCAGTTATTTTTTATTCAGGTTTTATATTCTGTGAAGCGCTTTGGGACGTCTAGGAAGACGTGAAAAGCACTATATCAAATGCAAGGATTATTATTATTACAATATATTTATATTCTGCTAGTGCTTTCTATTCTCTGCTGATATTGCTTAGTAAATGAACACAACAGTGAGCGCTGTTCTTTCCACATTACATGAGTCATCCTACAGCATATAGAACAGAATTAAAGCTGTCATAAATGTACAATCAAAGACATAGAACGTGCGTTCTTTGGAAGCCATTCATGTTGAATTAGTTTATTGTTAAATTCAGCCTTTACCAGCCTTTACTGATAATACATCTGTGTGTCAGTCCTACTTAGTTGCCCGTGTCTAACAGGTGGACATGAATAGCATTGAATTTATTTCTGTTGGCAGAAGTCCAAAATGAAATAGCCTCTGGTGTACAGAATGGAAGTTCTGTGGTTAGTTTTGTAAGTCCTAATTAAGTTGTATTATAGAAATTGGATTTATAAGTCACTTGCTGTATTAGTTACAGGTTCATTGCAAAATCTAGGCGGGCATACAAAATGAATGTAGATTTTCTATTATGTAACTGTTAATGAAAAGTACAAAAATAATGAGTTTTCTTATATAATGTGAAGGTGCTTGAGGAATTTCCCCCTCTTTGATTGTATTTTTCTCCTCTCCACTCTTCTCCCCTACTTCCAAGCACATGCTGAGCTTTAATGAGTTGCTGACGTTCACTGCTCACCGGTAAAAAATGGTCAAGGTATCAAGGGTGCCAGTGAAACTACTCTATTTCAGCATAAATCAATCAGCTAATCAGATAGGACAGCTAAAGTGGCCATGTGCACTGCAAGTCTTCAGCATTGCATTGTCTGCAATCCACAATCGTCTTTCTGTTGGTTCTCTTCTATTGAAGTCAACAGCAACAACAACTTGCACTTATATAACCCCCCTCCACGCAGGATAGGGTCTCAGAGTGTCTCAACCATACTCCCAACAAATTCAGCCTTGGCACCCTATTCCATTCCATCCAAGAGCAATAAAGTCAGAATGGATTCTATAGTCTCCAAAATCTCTTCCACTCAAACTATTATGATACCCTGCCCTAATTTTTCCCCTTTGATGGGCGTACAACTTCACAAGTACTTAACCACACATCAGTTACATCCAAAGAATTATTATAATTTTTCGGGCTCTGCTAAAATATGAGTCAAGTCGCTAGCAAAAGGAGGTACTGTTTGCAGGTGGTGAGCATAGTTGTGGTTTTCCACATAAAATAGTAACTAATATGCATGCAGCAGGAATAACCTCAAGAGATTTGTCGGATAGAGA